ATACTTCCATTTAGCAGCCAGACTGTAGGGGTAAAAGATGTTAAATTGGTCGATGTGAACTGTCTTTACTGATGGTCAGAATAGAGGCAGGCATTCACCTTGAGTTGGCAGCACGACCTGTGGCACCTCAAATACAGCTTGACTGACGAGAGATAGCACACACGCTGTGGAGCCAGTTATTTGCATATGTAGGTCAAATTCACCAAAGCTTATCCACACACAAGAAATGTAAATGTTGCTAAGAACATCTGCAAATATTTTCAAAATATAGCAACTTACAAATGTATATGTCAATTTTTGCATCAAATAAACTTCTCTTTGAATAACCTAGCCTCTGTTCTCTGTAGTTTCCTGTTTAGAAATTTAGTGTTAGTTGTGCACAATATTGAGTGACCTTACCGTATTTAACAATAGTAGGCAATTATATTACTGCAACATTTTGTGAGCTTTCCTCCGAAAATTATTTTTAGAACTACATGATATTTGCTTTGGTATGTGGCATCTGTGGCTTTGGTGAATATCCCAAACTACATGAGAGGGCCGGAATATTAGGAACACCTCTGAATATAATGTAGCCCAGTACAACACAACCTTTCACTATGACCTCAATAATAAACATATAATTGAATTTATACATTTATGACTATTTCACCAAAAACTGAAACATTGTGAGCTTTTTAAACACAGATGTTAATGCGGAAGTGTTGCACTGAAGTGCATACTACTGTACAGATAATAAATTGGCCGGTGAGTGTATATTGCGATGCTCCTGACATTATGAGGAACAGTTTAACTGGAGACAGTGAAGTGATGTAGGTTACCTCTCATTTTAACCATCAACAGCGTAAACAAACTTTGAAAAGCTCACTGCATAAATTCAGAACTTTTGTAGAAATATCTTCAGTGTCCTGCAAGGTGGCTGCAGCCGAATGCTACAAGGCCCGTGGCATAGCCCACCACATTAATTTAACTGCATAGCAGCAAAGCCTACTAGGTAGTAGTAGTAGTAGTAGTAGTAGTAGACTAAATGAGACACTGTAGGAGTCGGAGCAAGAGCCAAAACCAAGATGGCAGCAGGACTGACCTGAAGAGATCACCCTGAAACTGCTCTTTAAATGACCCCACATTTTAATGGCCAGTTGCCCTCTGTGTGAGCCACATGGTTTTTCAAAACTTCCCTTTGTTTTTTACAGCCTTCCTCGCTTTGCTGGTCTCTGTTGTGTCTTTGTCCCCACCCCCGCTGAGCCGTCAGGGCCAGAATGTGGTGGAACAACAAACCCAAATAGTGGCTATAAACTTCAGACTTGTTTATGGCCTGGGTCTGCTTGCTCACCCCTTGGTGAACTCCTGCAGCAGACACCACTGTCCCTTCATTTTAGGGCGTAGAACAACGTGACCCCAACTTCACCCTGTCCACCCTGCCCTTTGGACGACTTCGATTGGACCGCAGTACTTACAATGACTCCCTATTTTACCACGTCATTCAGCATAGCTTATTTGATGTGTCTATTGTCCACATGGTTTAACTTGGTTCAATATTTGGTCCAAAGCTGCATGGCTGCTGTTGAAAAGTCGCCTTTACTGTTTTTAGTGTGTCTTGTAGTGTTTGATGATTTTGCTGACAATGAGATTGCAATATCTGCAAACTGAGTCCTGTTATGACACTATGTTGCTAACTCTGTGTGCTCGGGCAAGGCCAAAAGGCAGTTTCATTGTCAGCTGAATAAAGGTTTTCTCCTCCAAATTAAGGTGGCGCTTCATGAAGTGGAAGGCATTGCTGTGTTTAGATTGGCATCAGTTCATATTTGAGGCTAAAAGGTTTACATAACTCAGAAATCATGGGTGAACTAGGATGACTGGCATTGACTGGTGTCACCCTGTTCTCTGAAATCGCTGCCAAAGTGGTGGGTGGCACTTCCAGGGTGTTCTTGTTTTTTCAGTGGAGGTAGGACACTGAGCCTGGCAGAAGAATGCCGGTCAGTGTTTTCCCATTCTCCTGCATTCACATGGGAATTTTTTCTGCCATGATGAAAGAGGCCTAGTAGGTTATGTTCCATTGTCATTCCCGATGAAGCCATTATATTCACACTCTTGTCGTTTTTAGTGCAGGTTATGCACTATATATGGTTATGCAGTGGAAAATGCTACTAGTCAGGTGACTTCACCTTAATCTGCCCCACACTTCATTGCCCCACACTTCATTACCCATCACAACAATAAAACAAGGCTAAAGGGCTAAAGCTGTTTACCTTGCCACCCACATCTCCAGTGTATAACTGTCATTCTCCGCTCCTTGATAACACCCATACTTCATCCCAATATGCTGATTCATGAGGTTTGACCTGAGCTGTGACCTGTGGTTTTATTATCACTTCCCTCTGCTGTTGATTGAAGGATGTTTAGGATGTCTGTGGTTCTTTAGGAGCCAAACAAAACTATCTGCACATTATCTCTGTCATTTTTACTCCTCTGCTTCCCCTGGCTCTGTTTGGAAACGAGCCATAATTGTCTTAGCTTAAAGTGTGTCTGTTTGGGTTGATGTGAGGTTAGCTGTCGAGATTTTAATCTGCTCACTGAGCCATCTGCTGTTGTCATTGGCCCGCATATCTCGGGGATTAAATTAGAGGCTGTGCAGCACGTGAGGTGTTCCTCATGCGGACACTCACACAGTCAGATACACACCCCCTATGACATGCACTTTTCCAGCCACAACAAAAACAAATGACACGTTCTGTTGAGCAGATGCTACTGAAGGCATACGCACGAATAAGTGCGCACATTCAGCAATGCAAGATTGGAGAGTGTGGACCATTGCCACTTACCCTGCAGCTCAGATGGCCACCGCCAGCAGCTAAAGCCCATGATTACCATTTTATTACAGCATGTCATTATTCTGATGCTATCAATGGAAATAAATTTGCTGACAATTGATTTACAGTAACCATCCCCGCCTCTCCACTGGCCCTCAGGGAGTCTCTGGTGCTCACTGATTTGTTCCTCTTGCCCACTCTGACTGGTTCTACCTAGGCTCTCACCTATCATATGCTGCCTACCTTATGGCTGATTGTTGTTTCTAAATGAAATCCGGACCCGACATGTTAACACCCGCAACCTGACCTGTACCCATAATTAAAACAGATCATAACTACTTAGCCAGTTTACTTTGAAGTATTTTCACTTTTAGGTTGTCCAGTTTGACACACTGAGACCTAGCCTACGTTGTCTGAGTGATATCCTATTAGCTGGATGTGAGTTGAGGGGGTCAAAGGTTGTGCCATAGGCCTTCACAATAAATGCATTGTTTTTTTATTTTATTTTATTTTTTATAAACTTAAACAAGGCATTATAACATTTTGCCAATATGGTGGGGGCACCAACAGCCTGGAGATTATGACCATTCAAGGAAATCGTTAAACTATCGTGAAAAAAAAGAAAAAAAGTGTTGCGAGTGAGCGTTTGCAAGATGTGTATACACTGAGTTGCTTCTGCATAGAAATACTAGAACACAAGTTCACCCCTTTTTTTTGCTTTAGGTCACGCCTAAGATGATAATTCACCATTGTAACATTGTAGATAAGTAAAAAAATAAGGAAAAGCGCCATGGGCCCTTTAACCTAAATGGACCAAACTGATGAAAAATTAAACGAAAAAGAAGAGAAAGACTTGATCTAAATGGGACCCTAGAACCCTGTTTGAATAGACCCAAGGAAAATTAAGCCTATATTTATAAAAGCAGATCTCAAGTGAAGTGAGCAGACCCAGAGACGGAGCGTTGACTGGATCCACTCAGGTATTTGACACTTTTTTGCACAGACCAAATGCAATTGGACCTGGCAGGATAGAGTGCTGGGTCTAGTCTGTTACTAGGAACTTTGGTGCAGAAATGCAATTTTGTGAAGAAAATTGACAACTTCTGATTTTCATATGTAGATGTTCTTAAATGAAATTAGTCAATTTTGATTTAAATATTTAGATAGACTTTAGCAGATTCAACAAGATAGAAGAAAAACTTAGCCAGAACCTTCTTAAGCATATTACTATTTTGTATAAGCCCATGCAGCAGCAATCTGGCTGCGCTGGCATATTTCTGTGAGTTTGCTGTGGGTAAAATTGTTCAACAGACTGATTGGAGCGGGGGGGGGGGGGC